GACATCTTCACTATTTTTCCCTCCACCTCTTTTTTTTTTTTCAATATTTAGTACAAATTCTGCAATAATAAAACTGTAGTTGTCATTTAAGATTTGAGTCATAGGCATTAGGCATGAAAAGCATGGTGTCGCTATACTTTAGAACCTATCAACCCTTATTTTCTTTAACAAGCTCTACTACCACAAGACATTACAGAGTAACAAAGCTCACAAAGTACTTAAATAAAGTGTCTACATTAATCTCTGCTAAGTACTTGATAAGGGTAAATTTATAGGAAGAAACAGCTAAGTCCTAAAACTGCCCAAAACAGGGCTTCGTAAAAATTTTTAAAAACAAATTAAAATAAATAGGATTTAAAACTGATTAGTTATGTATTATGACTGGAATTCCAATCCATTACAGATCAGTGAAACCACATCTTTATATGTAGCAGATTTTAAAATAATTAAATAACTTAAAATGGGAATACCAAAGAAGTCCATTAACAAGACATTTTGGGGTTAAACACACAAATGAGAATGGGAGACATGTGAAAGCATTCTTTGCTCTTAGTGTCAACTAGGCAACATGTTATGGCAGTCTTCCTTATTGGACATGACACAGTGTTGTGGAGAAAATCAGAGGCAGCAAGAAAAATGTGTGTTCTACTTTCCAATCCTTCAGTTCAAAATATTACTTGGCGTCCAGACGTAACCAATGTAATCCCTGCCGGGTATAACGGACTAGGTCTGTCATGATGCTTGAATTAAAGATAAGAGGGCCCATAACTTTGTCCAGTTCAGCAAAAAATTCTAGGATGACAAGAGAACAAAATAAACTATGTATATATTCTTTCATATTGACTTCTTTAGAGATTTTCATCCTAAGAAGAAATCCAGTTCTGACACACTAACCCCAGATATTACACACACTCTCTCAGGCTAAAGGAGGGAAAGATGAAAGGAGTTGCAAATGGAAATATAAACCCTTTTACTTTTATTTTTTTCCATTTCCAAAAGGCACCTCAGCATTTTTGTAATAACATGGTTGATACAGAGGCGTAACATGGCAGCTTTGTGCCCTGGGCAGCAGCAATGCATGGGGTAGTGCTGGCTGTCAGCACCTCTTTTTGCACCCCCATAGCTCCTGCCTCAGTTACACTACTGGGTTGAAAGAGAGATGGAACAAGATTGGTATTGGTGTAAAACATTCCTAGTAATGGGAAAATTCTTCCTTCAAGAAACATGCATATTCATTTTAAGCATAATTTTGGAAGTGGACATGTATTTGCATTCAACCCTAGAACCTAAACAAGTATGGCAAGTCTACCAAAAATCTGTTTGGCCATGTTACTAGTATGGAACCCAGCAATCAACACCATTCTCCAACAAGATCAGAGAACCAATCTGAAAGATGACTGCAAATTTAAAGCAGCGATTAAGTTATCTACAGCAAACCACTAGCCAACAAAACATGGCTTACACACTATGAGCTGATGCTCTAAATGTGGATGCCTATTAGGATTTTGGCAAAGAACGCTGTATTTGAATTTTTGGGCAGATTCTGCTGTCTTACCTTTCTGCTCTTTAGAGAGCTGTTCAGCTTGGTCCCAGATTTCATTGGCATAGAGAAAGTTGGATGTAACCTGCACATAACTGGCTGCCATCTGGTGGATTCTCTGTGGAATAGTCACTGAAGAACTGCTTCCTGAAGGGTTGGTTGTCCCCGAAGAGTAATTCCCTGAATTCCCTGGAGATAGCTTCGGAGAGACCGGAGATGGCATGCCAACAGGCTTGCTAGTTATTATAAGAAAAACATGGTTTTCAAAATATGAACTGTCAAAATAGATACAGCTGAAACAAGCATCAGAATATAATCAACAGCATGTATTTCTATAAAACTCCCTCGCCCAAAACCTCAAGGCCTTTCCATTTATAAGTACTCCCCCATTTGATAATTGAGGAACCCAAGACCAGAAGGGTTTAAGTAACTCGCATATGCATATATGAAGTCTGGGTCTGAGCTGCAACCAGAAACTAAAAGCTTCTCCAAGTCTTGTGGCTTTATCTCATGACCAAGCCTCCTCATCCTTTAATTTGCATTTTATAAGGTGGAATTTTTTTGTGGCACATATTTCAAAGTAGTAAAACTTCATCGAAGAGACTTCTGAATGAAATCTGAACCACACAAAAGGGCTCTACTACTAGAAATGAAGCTTTAAAATGTTAATAGGTTAAAGCAGGGGTGGCCAACCTGCAGCAATGCATCTCACAAGTGGCATGGGCAACCTGTGTGGCACGTGGCACCCCAGGGAGGGGACAGGTGCAGGAATGAGAGCGGATCTGGCATAGAGCACAGGTGAGGGAGCAAAAAGCAAAGCAACTGATTGGGCAAGGAGGAAGATAAGAGTGGCATTCAGGGAGGGCATTGGACTAATTTGTGGCAAGCCTGCCAGAAACACTGGCCACCCACTAGGTTAAAGAAATTTAAAATAACCCACTGAAGATTACATATTTACGTAACTCAGCTACACAAACACGGCACAGCATATCGTAATAGTAGTCTCAGGATCTGAATGGTACAAGTAAGAATGTTCCTTACTTTCCCATAGAGTAAGCAATCCTGAAAATATTGCAAGTTCAGGTAGCTCCAGGCACTTTACAAAGTCTATTGTCCTCTTAGTTATCAGGAGTATATATAATAGAGCTCACTGAAATCAAGCTGTGGGTTAGACAATACGAAGACACAGACCCCTTTTTGCAGTAAGAGGTCATTTGAAACCCAGCTTAAAGTGCTGTCATGAACAGTTGTCTTTTGAAACATTTACCATAACAAGCATGCAAGCATAAACCCAGCTGAAGCGCCGATCCTTAGGAGAGTACAACTAGCTAATGAGACACCAGATAAATTTATATAACACCACCAGGAGTAAACAATGAATTCAACTTTATGTAGTACACAAACTGAGAAAAAGGAAATAGTTTCCATTTTGTCTGTTAGAAGTCTGGCTCTCACTACAGAGAAATCAAACTAGTTTAATACTTTATCAGTGAACTCAGACATGCAGATTCTGTTCTTCAGCCCCATTAATCCATCACCTCCCACACAAGATTTAAAACATCTTAAATCAAGAAAGAAAGCAGTTTAATGTTCAAGTTTAGAAACTGCTTACCTTCCCATACCAGGTGATGGTGCTTGAGAATTATTATAGGAATTCTGTTTGAGTGAAAAAAAAAGATTGCCATATGATTTAAAGTCATCTTAATTGCTTATTAAACTGATTTTTGGAAACAGATTTTTTTGCAATAATTAAAGTCTGAATAGGATGGAAGGCTCTCACAGCACTTTAAAATCTGAGAAAACACCCAGTGATCCCAGTGACAAACTAAGGCAGGCAGTGGTACTTTAGGTGATTTGCCTACAGATTTGTAGCAAGCTGACAAATTTGGGGTTAGATCTCAGGCCTCCTTATTTAGTCCCTTGTGCTAACTACAAAACCTCATCATCTCTTATGGCAAGATTTCATTTTTTCCAGCCTGATACCTGTTATTAGGAAATGGGCGGTTTCTATTATGACCACTGAGCAGCTAAGGCTCACTCTTTTCAAGTTCCACAAAGCCAGAAATATATTAGTTTGCTTCTCCTTTGGTATTTAAACTTGGGTGTCTAATCCCCATAAGCCTTTTTAAAATCCCAGACTAGATTCAGATGAAGTAACTTTACCCAGGATTTCTTAAGCATCCTGACTGAGTGCCTCATCTGAACACCTGGGTTCAAATGAGTCAACTTAAAAGAGGACTTCTCAGCATCCAATCCCCGGTAGTGGGTTTCAACCAGATCCAGAGGATTTAATGGGAGGTAAAGCTTAAGCAAGCATGGTGAGTTGTTGGGAATTAGAACTTGGATCTAATAGTGCTGCCATGAGAAGTCTGGTGAAGTTACTGGTTGATGTGTTTAGTTCCAACACCAGCCCCTAAAGCCATAAAATGTATCATTAGACACAGAATTCCCTTAGGTTTATATACGAAAAAAAAGTTCCACTTTTTAATATCTCCAGCTAGAAAGATGCTTTTAATTCTCTTTGAAGCTCACTGAATTTTTTTATTCATAGAAGCAGACTAAAAATTAGATACATTATCACAAATGGAGGCTAATAATGCTAGGACCAGCAGAGTTGTGACTATCTTGCTTGGGTTGGAAGTAGCCATCCTTCCCAGTAACAAATTAAAGCTTTAGAACACAGGGCTGTAGGTAGTAGCCGTGATGGTCTAAGGACATAAGGCAGACACGGCTCTTTGGGTGTGCCTGAAGGGTTATATTTCCAAATAGGGTACACAGGTTTGAAAAACCAGGTCCTAGAAATTCTGAGCACCGTGGAGTTCCAACTTTTTGTAGATGTTAGTGGCAATAGGCAGAAAGTGTTTACCTTTAGATGTTCAGTCAATGTCTTGGAGTATTTCAATGCACTCTCCTTCTTCAGCTTGAATAGCCTTAAGTATAACAGGGACTGGCATCGAAGACTAGTCAAAGACAAATGGTAACACATTTATACTGAAACTGCTTACTACAATTCAATAATGCAGGTAAACAACTGCAGGGTGTTTTTAATGCATATGCACTTGATTTCACTGGAGTTATCACTATTGCTGATTTTTGGTAAAATTGTTTAACTTGTCCCTAAAAATAAATATATAGATTCAGCTTGAGGTACAAGGTTTCAGTCACATAGCCTTCCTTGATTTTTCTTACATCACTGGTCCTGCACACCGAGCTCTGAATACAACTCAATTACCTCTCATGTTAGCAAAGAAATAAATAAAAGCCCATAACACAATCAAGACATCCCAAGTCTAATCCTGCATTTTTCCACTCTTCTTTCCATCTCCACAACAAATTGGTAAGCTCTCCTAAAGAACTCTGGAAAGGTAGTGAGATGATTCTTGGGTTGTACCTGAAACTTCAGCCAATCAGTGAGTGGGCACAGGATAAGATCTATGAACTCCCTGAGCTTTCTGCTATAGCTTCTTTCAAGGTGCAGTTTAGTTTCAAGGCTACCTTTACAAGGTAAAAGCTCAAAATCAGTGCTATAGACCCTTGATCTCATAAGCAGTAATTTGATCTCTGCTTCCAAAAGAGTAACTACAGTAGTTAATGCAACCACTGTACCCTATGAAAATTTCAGCTCCCAAGTGGTGTTGCAATGACAATAGAATATACATTTAACTTGATAGCAGTATCATCAGTTTGTCACCACTAGAAAAATCTTACTTCCAATTAAGAGACTAGAGACACAAAGCTGCAGACACTGCTGCTTAAGATTTAGCAACCACAGCCTAATGCTACTAAAATATTAAAGAGTATGAAATTATTAAATAGTCCAAAGCTCTGTCTTTTCTAATAGCATGTTCCTTTAATATGCCTGCCTTATCCATTGCTGGAACAGACATCACATCGAGGAAATCATATTTCAAACAAAATATTAGCACACTGTTCATTTCTCATTATGTCTGTATGTAAGAAGCAGTATTAAGCTCTTGCCCTCCTGATAGCATCTCACTGGCAAGACTAATGCACCTAAACTAAAAAAAATTCTATCCCAGATATATCAGCTTTATTCCCTAATTATATTAGAAACAGAAGGTGGTCAATGTCAATACTACAGGAGAGAAGTTATTCCAGCTCTCACTGGCTAAGGTTAAATGAGAACCTTACATACCCTCAGCCTTTAAATTTAGAGTACTGGATTTACAATTCAATTCAAGAAGGAATAACTACAATACTATAGGCAGTAACTTCACACGTAAAACACTCACTAATTTAACTCAAGATGTTTTACACTAAACCTAAAGCACACATACCAAAGCACTGCTAGCCTTTTATCTGCAGCTGTAGCATCTGGTGCTAAGTAATTCTTCAGTTTCATAGTGTATCTGCAAACAAAGACATCAAGTAAATGATGGCAACAAAAAAAAGCTTTATGTTTTCATCAGCTGCCATTTCTCATTTAATGCTCTTTTAAGAAACCTGTTAAGTTTTAGTTCCAGAGATCTACTTTTGATGTTTTATCAAACATCTGGATGAGATGATTACAGAAACATTTTTACTTTTACATCATGTTTTGTAGTGGACATTACAATCCTTAGATGAAAATGTCCAAATGTTTGGGCAAAACATATGGTTTGATTTAAACATATGGAAGAGATAGGGAAATTTTACCCATTTTACTGATGAGAGATTAAGTTAATTACAAAAGAACAAGAATAAAGTCCAAACTCTAACCCCCAGACTTTATTGTTAATTGCTTACTTGATTAATTCCACAGTTTCTGAATACATAGGGAACGGGGACTTGGATTCCTGAGCATTTTTCTCCAATGCATTCCCACATTCGATGAATGACACTACAGCATCAAGGTAGTAAACAGCTTTCTCGAATCTGTCAGACTGAAGAGAATTATATCTTTAGAACCAAAAATATAGAGAAGGGGGGAAGAATAACAGTAACTGAGAAGAACACCGAATCAAAGGAACTACCCCAATCCAGCATTATGTGCAGCCACTTGACAAACATTTTCAGTTCTGCTTACCAGTGCATCTGCATTATGCTTTAACTTCTTTGCTTCCTGTAAGTAGTGATCAGCCGAGTAAGACCTACAATAAAGAAATAAATGTGTTGAATAAAACCTATTTCACAAGCTCTTCTAGGTGTCAAGCTTCATAACTTTGGTATCTTTTGGTTTGACTTTTTCTCCCTACCTTAAATCACAGGATGCATAGTGTCATATAGCCCTTTCAACGTGTAAAAATGCTCTTTTCCTCCAGTGCTGTCATAATATTTTGAGACTGTCAATAACTGTCACTAGATTTGTCCAACTCACTTTACTGTACTGCATACCAAAAAAAACTACATATGAAAGATGATACCAATGAACAAGCTATCTGTCATAATACGCAAGTGCATAACTTACCATCTGTATGGCAAAGGTTCACATTAGTAGATGTGAAATGTTAAAAACAAAATTAATACGTTCAGAGATTGATTTAAAAATTATTATAGTTGACCTTAAAATGAAGTGGCTTCATGACCTAATGAAGGTCCCACAGAGGCTTAATTTCACATTTTTACACCATAGTTACAGGCTGATCGACTAAAACCTTTCCAAACATACTACTAGGTTGACTTAATCTTTCTCCTGTTTTACCATACCTTAATATATATTTCTTAAGTTTTCCCTAAATTCAATCTTCTGGCTTTAACATTTTATTTAGAGATAATTACAACCCCTACCCCTTCAAATATAGTTTACTCTAAATTACTGGTATATATGTTAAACTTTAAGTCTATTGCAACTGAGTTTGTCTGTGAATGCACACAGAAGATAACACACACTGGACTTGGATTGCTTATTTCCATATGGCTCTGAGTAGCCTGCTCTTTTTATATTGGCAAGGAATACAGTTTGCTTCTAAAAACGTATTTCATCCAGAAAACAGTTTTAAGACAGCCTTGAATTAAATGATTAAAAGTAAAAAAGAACAACTATAAGGGACAGTGAAATATCTAAATGAAACATTAAGGCCTTATTCTATAAGGAGGCGAATTGATTCATTTGGACATATATTTAATAATTTGTGTTCTCATCAAAATATTTTGATAGCAGAGGACGAAATGACTCCACATTCCAGCTCTTGTAAAAGCAAGGCAATTCCAGAATCAAGACATCCCTCTTTAATGAATGATAGCAGTCACTGACTGCAGTGAAAGCTAACAGTGCAGAAAGGATTGGTTGGTAGCAGTATTGGTCTGCTAGGCTGTTGTGGGATAGTCAGCATTTCTAAAAACAGACAGACAGGGACAACCAAGTACTGGCCAAGTCCACTGTTTGCTCGTCTCACGCTGAGCAGGAATGTAGTGTTCCTTCCTTTCTTCCCAGTGACTGAACGAACTATTTGCCAAATAAGAGACACACATGTCAGACAGGCACATTGATACAGGAACAGAATGCAGGTCTCCAGATCAAAAGAGAGCATTTTCACAACACTTTTGTATGGCAAAGAACAACCCTATCTACAGGGAAGAAGGTATACATTTGTAGGAGTTACACACTGAAATTAGCATCCCTCTGAAAGGAAGAGGAAAAGTAATGTGGCAGAGCACCTTCTACTGCTCTCACCTCTCATCAAAGACAAGCTTCGCTCTTCGGGACTTGGAGCTCTCTGTAGCTGGAGTAGATGCAGGAGGGCAGTTTGATGAATTGTTTAGAACCTTTTCCTGAGGGTGGGAAAAAATAGGCAGATAGTAAATATAAAAGCAGCTGAAGTTTTAAAGTTCCTCCTGTGGCTGCATGTTTATTAAATGAAACCTAGAAGATCAGTTTTCTAGGAGCCCATTCCCATTCACAATTACCATATGTAAATCATCTTGGCTTGCAGGGCCTCTCCCCTTAACAATGCTTCATCATCATCATCATCATCATCATCATCATACGCTGGAGCAGAGCCAGACAGAGAAACAACACTGTAACAGGCTTCCTAACAAGCTTGTCACAGTAACTGGATCTCTGCCAGAGCAAAGGATCTAGTCAAAGGTTGCTAGCACAACTGTAGTCCCCTTCCCTATGCTTTGCAATAATTGTCAGAACCCTGCTTATCCTATCCCACCAGTGAGGCAAGGCAAATTATTTACTACGTTCCCATTTCTTTTAGCAAGAATCACACCCCTCCCCCCCAATGTTTTTATTGCTAGAGAGGATCAAGTTAGGTGTCCTATTTTCATTTCTCAAAAACCCAGTGTCCCTTCATAGAGGCATTTCAACCCTGTCCTGAAAATCATACAGCTTCAGCAAAATATGACACAGCAAATGAAGAGGGAAGATGATGAATATGCTCTATGATATTAGAAGTCACTTGGTTCCCTATATTCAAGACCAGCAGATTGTTTCCAGCAAGCCTGGATTTCCATGACCCTGAATTAGTTTTTTTCTAGGGGTGCACCGATAAATTTTTTTTGGGCCAATACCGAAGGCTAATTATTAAATGAGCCATATTGGCAGATACCAATCCAATTGCCAATGTGCACCATGGAGAGCAGCGTCTGGCTGGTAAATCTGTTGGGGAGGCAAGGGGCGTGGAGTGGTAGATTGAGGCTCCTGCGATGAGGGACGGAGTGGGACTGGGGCAGGGCCAGGCACTGCCCAGCCGGGGCGGGGCAGGACACAGGACGGAGCTGCAAGTGGTTTCTCTGGGGAGGAGAGGGGGTGGCTCCCACCACTGCGTGCACTCCCTGGGGAGGCATGTGCCCCCTGGGCCAAGGTGATGCTTGGGCTATGCAGCAGCAGCACGGGGCGCGGGGGGGGCGGGCGCACTATGGCTGCCCGCCTCCCACACTCCCCCAGATGAGCTTCTCATGGCTGTCTGATGCCCCACCCCACCCCACCCCACCCCAGCTGGGCAGCACCTGCTCCAGCCCCACTCCCTCCTTTACCATAAGGACCTTGATCTGTACACCCCCCGCAACTTCCCTCTACAACACTTACCAGCTGGATGCCCTCCCCAAGCCACTAGGCTGGCTGTGTGCATGCTGGAGCTGCATGTATGCATGCTGCATTTAATCGGCAACATTACTGGCCACATCAGCCAAAAAGGCCAATTGCTGATAATGTCAATTTGCCTTATCAGTATGGACACTATATGGACTGATGCACTGATGCACTTTTTAACATAATTTAAGTTTATATTAAACTTTAATCTAGAGGACTTTCAGAGTGCTTGAAGACGGGCTTATAGAGCAATATACTGTTTATTTTCACCTATTGCTAAAATATAGGTAACTATAGCAATTGTTCAGTGGCACATTAGAAAACTATGCTATTTTGAGAGAGGAATTATTAAAATCTAAATGAATTGCCAAATACTAAAATTAAAAACAGGGCCAAACATGGTTCAGTACTAACACAGAACGAAAGAGCCCAGTGAATATGAAATACAACCTTGTACAACACCTACAAATTCCCCAGAAGATTCCCATGCTGACACTCACCAATCAAACCCTACGTGGCTCATAATAGCTGATGAAGTTAGCACTGAGGTAACGTGGCTGCACTCTTAGTTTAGATATTCCAGTCATTCCCTATTCTGATCAAGTTCTGTTACTCCACTCCTACATCCACTTGCTGCTTCATCCTGAAAATCGATTCTCACGATATCAGTTTTTGACAATTTCAAAACATTTCTCAAGCATCACTGAGATCTGCAGTTAATTGGGTCTGTAAACTAAAGCAACATACATTACATCTACCATGATTGTCAGGTTTTCACTTGTATGTTGCACGTGACTCAGGATAGGCTTGCACCAACATCCCCTGATGCACTCCATAGCCCTATGGATTAAAGCAACCAGGTTTGCTTTGGTAAAAAAAAAGTCTTGCCACTTGACAGTACATGTATCAGTAAGAATCAGGCATAAAATTCTTCATATCCCAGTCACGTGACTGCTGACGCACAGGAAGCTTAGCATCGGGAGTTTGGGCTACCCCCTGCCTGATCTCAACTGATCATCGGGATCAGGCAGGGGACAGTCCCTGAATCCAAGACACAGCCACCTAGCGCTCGACCCCAACAGTTGGGCTTCCCTTGCATCAGCACCTTACCAGCCTTGACACAGGCCCACCTGCAGGTTGCACAGCAAGGCTTAACATGCCAGATGTTCAAATTAAAGCATCACAGAAACCAGCCACAAAGATATTTAATGAGGAACATTAATGGAACATTTATGTGGAACACCTTTGTGGCTGATCTGTCATTTTATGGTTCAATAAATTTGTTGAATATATGTTGCGCGTTAACTGTTAAATGGCATGATAAATGTAAAATCTACCAAAGGACTTAGTTTCAAGTACAATCCATCTTCTTCCTGGATTTGACCTTAATTTTTACCTCAAGACCCATTTTCCCAAATTCAGTCTTCAAACAATATCCTACCGAAATAGGTGTTTTTAAAGAATTGTCTTTACAGTACCTTCCTTTTTCATCCCCTTTTTCTGTA